AGTCCTTGCTTGCTGGTGACAAAGCCTGGGTCGGCAGGGGAGGTGGCAGTGAGGTCTGACTGCAGGACAGAAAAAACCCAACAAGGGTCAATAGCAAAAAGAGTGGGTAGAAGTTTGAAATGCTGGTAGATAGAGAGATCACCTTCCCTGCTTTTCGTGATAGACAGTTTCACCGATTAGTATCGTTAGCTGGGACTTGCCTAGCTTCTCACTTTTTTGGTAAGTGTCAATTTAGCAGAATTAACCCAAGCCTTAGCACGTTCTTACTGTAGTTTTGAATTGCGTTTATGTGGTATCATTTCTCATGCAAGTTTTTCAAGCTTTCTGCATGTCTAGTTCCTGATAATCTGGAGGGAAATATAACTGTGAATGCTGAAAGCTGACTTTGCAGAAAGCATGTTTCTTTTATCAGCAGTTATGTTCTACTGATGCCAACATACTGAATTGTTAAAAAATGCAACCTATTTAATTATAGTAAAGTGATGTCCCAGCAAGCCTTTCTCTTGTAAGTATAATTTGTGGTTTTGTTGTGAATAATTTCCCTAAATATTTTGACAGTCTGCATGAGGACACTGCTAAGCGACGTTGACACACTTTTCCTGTTTGGAGTTGGCTTATTCTTGTACAGTATGTTTAATCTAATCATCATATCCTGCAAAGCATGGCATGAATGTGAAACTGTGAGACAGAAATAATTTAGGTTACAAAAACTAACAGTCTGCTCAACCAGAGATTTCCAATTGCCACAGGAGTGTACTAATGTGTGGTTCTTCTCCTCCCATGAAAACACTACTTTCTTTTCCGCAAAATACCTTTTATCCCAGGGATGATGGATGAAATTTAGTGTTTCGGTTGTAATCACTGAACAGGTATAATTGAGAGGTCATATATATTAAGCCAGATTGAAATATTTTCTTATTTCCTAACTCCTGCAGTGGTTTAAAATTACTAGAAGAGCAAAGTTTGGGAAAAAATTCAAAGCAAAACCATACAGTGAAATTACATGTTCTTTTAATTTCAGAATATTTATGTCTAGTGAGAAGATACAAGCAAGGAAATCTAAGTTTCTCTAAGTAGAATAAGATTACAAAAAGTCACAGGAGTTGAATGACAGTGCTGTGCTTTGGCAAGTTTTTATTAATTAAGGAGATGGTGAGAAGGTTTTACAACCAAATATTTCTGTAAATGGATTGAATAGTATATAATCTGAAAGGAATCATCTTCCATCCTTTCAAGTCGACCCACAACTTTTGCTAATCCTGTGTGGTGTATCCATCCAGTCCTGCAGGCAGGAAGCCAGGTTGGAGTACTTTTGCCAGACGAATTGATAGTCGCTCTGCTTCCCCTTGTGAGCACCTTGTGCTCGGCTTTCCCAACAACCGCTGGCGTGTGATAATTGCTGCCTGGAGATCCTGACAGCAATGGTGTGAGTGTGATGTTTCCGAGGCTTCTGCATTTGGAAGTATGATATTACCTGTGGAAGCAGGGAGGGGGTGTCCGTCAGCGGAGACAGGCTCGGCCCTGGTAAGCTGTGCTCCTCCAAAAGCAGCTTCTGGCGGGGTGAAGGACAAGGTGGTGCCTCTGCTGCCGTTCCTCGCCTCAGTGTGGGTCTCTGCCATCTGTTTGGTGTAAATGGACAGGATGCAGACAAGAAAAAGGAATAGATGGTCTTGGCTTTGAGACAGGTTGCTCCTCCTGTAAGCAACCAGCAGGACCGTTGCGAGCTGCCAGGAGGGCTTTCTGCATGAGTCGCTCGCTGTAGAGCTCACATTAATGTTGCGTGAGTTGTGAGCAGGAGGCATGCATTGCAACCCCTCACTGCCTCCTCGTATAAAATTCTCATGTCAGCTACTGCTAAACACCAGCAATCAGAGCTGTTAGATCACAGCCAGCACCTTTATTGCTCTACTGGTACAAATGATTAAATGTTGACTTTTTTTTTTGCATTTACTTGTTCAAGTCCACTGATACTTGAATGAGATTAGTGTGGCTATAGTTGGCCTTCTAAGAGAAGCTGAGAACAACTACCAGCTACACAGAACTGGGATGCAAGAGAGTGTGCTATGTTACAGTGGGTGGGAGAAAGTATTTGATGAAAGGTAGCTTTTGAGCTGTACCGCTGCTTAGAAACTGCTGCATCTTGAATGCACGAGTAACTGTAAGATTTTTACATTACTGTTCAGTTCTATGCCCATACAAAGCTATGTGGCAAAATGTTACATTATATAATTAAATTGTGTGGTAGTGTATATGAAGAAAGGCCTAATATTGTAAGATACAGTTACAAACCGAAGTACTTACTAAGCATATCCCAGAGTAAAAGCACAGTTGCGCGCCTATCAAGGTACTTACAATGATGCAGTTTACTCCTCTGAATTACCGATCTATCTATTAGCAGCCTATTTATGTTACAGTTTGGGGCACATTAGGAAGAATGTTTGTCTGTGGCTTGCCAAGTGAGTCACTTTGGTGTTTATAATCTCTTGGTGACTTGCCAGGTAAATCTCTGTGCCAAGTTTAGTTTTTCATGTGATCAGGAAGTGATACAGGAGGATGCACTGAGGACTTCCCCGGCCATCTCCCCTCAGCACCCTGACGGGAACGTCGCAATTGTCTTGTGCTTTAAAGAGGAAATTTTCAAAGGCACGTAGAGCTAAATCTCATACAGAAATCACCGGGGTTCCCTTTGAACATCTGACATTTTTCCTTTCCATATCCTTCTTTCAAGCTCAAATAGTCAAGCACCTTTTTTAAAGGAATTACCCAATCTCTGAGCATGTGTCTTCCTAGGAAGGCTTACTTACCTGATGACATTTACTCCCTGTTGCTTCCCTGTGTGTATATTAGTGTCAGTATTTCATTTCCCCCAGGATTAGTAGTGTGGAATCAAGTATTGCTTCGGTGGGCAAAATTTGCCATCGTACCTTTGAAACAACCTATGAGTGCTTCTGCAATAGTGGAAATGGCAAGCGTCAAGTTAAATGTAATTGGTGTTCAAACTTTCAGATTCTTTTTACATGGTTTGGAAAGAAGAAAGGGGGACCGTTCAAGCTGATTTTACGTGGGGTAATTTTCAAGTTGTGGTGCTGTTTCAGTGAGAAGAAGCTCCCCTGAATTGTTCTGAATCCTCCTGTAAGCACAATATGAGGGGCTCGGGGGCTTATATTTAATTTTGATTTTAAAGATTAAAATTAGGTGTAAAGAGGTCATTGTTTTATGCTCACGTGTGCTCATATACCAATGTGGGACCAGCCACTAGGAAATAATATTTTTATATAGTAACTTAACTGTCACATGGATTTGAAAATCAACTTTTTACTTCTTTTTTTTTTTTGGAAAGAAAGCTTTCACATAACACAGGTGTTGTTTCATTTCTGTATTTAATACATGCGGAAAACACTTTACATGGTATTGGCCATTGTAAATAATATAAGGACTTCGTTCACTTCTAAAACATGGTTGGATGGTAAATTTTACAGGTGTTTTTTTCCTAGACTTCTCTTTTTATTTCCTTTCATTGTGAGTGCATGTTTCTTACTCGTCTTCTTTCAGAAATGATCTTTGCAATGGGACAGTATCTCTGGGGTAGAAGTTCTTTAAAAGGAAGAATATGGACTTGTGACTTACCAAATAAAGTCTTGCAAAATGTTTTTTGCAGGACATCTATGCCTCTGTCTGCTATTTGGTGCTTTTTGAAAACCAGCTGTCACCTAGGCTCTTCAGACTTTTGAGAGTCTGGTGATTTTTGCTTCTTCTTGAAACACTTCATCACTCTGTCACTAAACAAACAGAGTGGGTCTCCTCAGCTATATTTGAGTATTCCTGGACTTGGCACTTATTTTGCTAGAAGACAGAAGTATGTCTGCTGGTGCAGATCCCATGTCAATCATCTACTTGAGTTTATAGGACTTTGTCTTCATTTTTATCCCTTTAGTACTTTTAGAGGTTCTTGGCTTCCCTTTGCGCTCTACCTGAGCTCTAAATGAATCTAACTTATCCAGGCTGCAGAGAATCTTTCCTGGGTGCTTTTGACCACTTCCAGCTACATTATCATGTTTGTCTATGGAAGCACAGAAAGAATAAATTTCAGAATCATGTATTCCCCTTAATGTTTCTTACTGTGTTCCACTCCTTTGCATCAGCCTAATACTGCAGTATACAAAATGTGGATTAGCCTGCTGTCCAGCAGCATGAAGAAGTACCTGGTTATAGTAGCTGCCCATACAGAAAAGTCTGCTGAAGAACTGAAATTGCCATTCTTCATTTGTCCTTCCATTTTTGCTTTTTCTTTTATTTAAGGACAGGGTATGTTAAAAGTAAACGTTTAAAATTTGCAGCCATTTGCTGTTGGCTGCCTTTGTTTTAACAACGGCACGGAAGCTGAAGCCCTGTGTCGCCAGGGCCCAGGGGAGAGAACAGCTAGAAATAAAAGGAGGTTGTGACAAGTGTGTATTTCTAAGACTATGAAACAAAAGCACAAGTGAAAGTGAAGCTACTGCTGAGCATAAAGTTTATCGCTGTTGCTGGGGAATAGTGTACGCCTTCTTCAGGACCGCTGTGAACTCGGCCAGACAAAATGGGTGGAAGGGCAGAAGGTGGAGAATGTCTGCATCCTATTATGAATTGGAGGAAATGACTGTCTGCGCTCTGTGCGCTGGTGGGCTCAGAGTATCCTGCTGGCAGGCTGGTTAGTTGTAGGATACTGAACAAAAAGTGGTGAATTGTCAGCTTTGGTGTTTAAAATAACGAGTAGGGATGAGAAGTTGTTCTTTAAAAATATGCTGTGGGTTTTCTGTTGGCTTTCTTAAACTAACTGGAAACTTTCTGCTTTCTTTCAGGAGCATTTTTTCTCTGAAAACATTGCTGCTGAAAAGCTCTAAACAGGAGAAGTAAATCCAGTCAGCTTGTCAGGTCACTGGCTCAGTGTAAAAGTGCTTTCATGAGGTAACGTTGGGCCAAAGTCAACTTTTCTTTCTCCTTTGTAAATCTGCAGCCAAGCAATGGGCCAGAAAATCTCAGGGAGCATAAAGTCTGTGGATGTGAGGGAGCCCCCTTATAGACCTGTTAAACGAGAGCTGAGAGGCCCGGATTTTTGCAAGCCGGCACGACTGGACATGCTGTTGGATATGCCCCCTGCCAAGCTGGAGGTCCAGTACAAACATGCTTGGAACAATGAAGATCGGTCGTTAAATATATTCGTAAAGGAAGATGATAAACTGACTTTTCATAGACACCCAGTTGCCCAAAGCACAGATTGCATCCGGGGCAAAGTCGGCTACACGAGAGGCCTGCACGTCTGGCAAATCCACTGGCCCACGAGGCAACGGGGAACTCACGCTGTGGTGGGTGTCTCCACAGCTGAAGCTCCGCTGCACTCGGTGGGATACACGTCGTTGGTTGGTAGCAATAGTGAATCGTGGGGCTGGGATCTGGGACGCAACAAACTCTACCACAATTGTAAAAACCAGCCTGGGGTCACGTATCCTGTCTTTTTGGAACCGGATGAGTCTTTTGTACTCCCAGACTCCTTACTGGTGGTTTTGGATATGGATGAAGGGACGCTTAGCTTCATGGTAGATGGACAGTATCTTGGAGTGGCCTTCAGGGGACTAAAAGGGAAAAAACTTTACCCCATAGTCAGTGCAGTTTGGGGGCACTGTGAAATTACAATGAGATACGTCAACGGACTTGACCGTAAGTGTTACCATATTTCTTCATTACACTGTCTTTTAGCTTTTCTCTTGTAGGATTTTTTTTTCTTTATCCTTTTGTTGTGAACAGAGTGTGCTGGGGGGGGACGGGACTCTGTGAGTAGATTGCGTCCCATAGTTACTGCCCACAACTAATATCTATCAATTGTGTCTTGTAATGATGGTATGGATTATATCAAAATATTTTCCCTTTTGGCAAGCAAACTGGCAAGAAATCTGTGTCCAAAGAAAGTGAACAGACTGAGAAAAAAGATCTTGAGAAACTTCCTGGGTATATTTAACAGTAAAACTCTTGTTTATTGGAGGATATGTTTTAAATCTGTGGTTTTCAAATAGGGTTTGTGGCTCCTGTAAAAATTTCCTGTAGTAGTGGGAACTCTTACATGGCGTGCATAAACATACTCGAATTCAGGCCATTAGGCTTTCTTTTCGTAGTTGCCTTTCCAGGACTCTCAGAAGCAGCTGTGGATCCCCAAGAATCTGGGAGCTCAGGTCAAATATTGCTTTCAGGAGTTTTTCTGAAAGAGAGCTCTGTTCCCTAGTTCATTTCAGAAGGTGCTCTCTCAGGGTATTTTCTTCTCCAGAAATATGGGGTTTGGATAAGCATTACCTATTTTTGATCTAAAGAGGTAATAGCAAATTAAATTGTTACGTAGTAAGGAGCAGCATGTTACTGCTGTGACCTTGAAGTAGTAGCCCATCACAAGATGAATTGCAGAACTGGGTCTTGTCCAGTTCTTCTCACTGCTCAGGAAGACGTGTTCTCTGCCAGGACCATACACAGCACAGTGTACGTTCCCTCATGCCCAGTTATCTACAGTCAGCTTATCAGCTGCTGTGAATTGGGGAATGGAAGGCTGAACGAGGTAGTAAGTGGAACTTTGTTCTTGTTTAAGATTGTATTATCTGAGCCATAGGAGGAACCATGAATATAAATATATAGATTTTACAAAAATAGATGACTGAACAAAATTTTCATGGTTTTTGTGCTTTATGACTGGAACTTGGTCTTGTAAAAAGAGAATAATAGCAAGTGTACAACATCTGCCTTTCAATTAGTAATTTCTAAAGGAATTTACTGTTCTTCTCAATTAGGATGGGGTGGTCTAATTTTTTTCTGTCAAAAATTAATTCTCTGCTCATTAGCCTTACATCTGACATGCAAAGTAGAAACGTAATTAAATAATTTGACCCTGTTTAAGATTACCTTTTCATAAACTCTGTAATAAGCACTGGGGGAAAGAATCTTTATCCACAGAAGCCTTGCAGGTTATTACAGCCAGATGCTAAATGGCAGCTTCCTGAGTGCTTTCATACAGGGGAATATCGGAGGATCGTAAGTATTTTGCAATTACTCAGACATTGCAAAGAGTGGTGTGCTGACAGCTTTTTTCTTTGTTTTGTTTTTTTTGTTTTTTTTTTTTTTTGGAGGGTAGCGGAGGAGAGATACTTTTGCAAACTGAGTATTTGTGTGCAAAAGCAGTTTTTATAATACTGGGAATATCTGCCAAACTAAGCAAAGTACAGCTTGGCCTGGTCCACCACGTCCACACAAGGAATCGTTCTGCATTCCTTTTGTAGCCTTCACAGGGCTGCTCAAGGGAGCTCTAGAAAGATGAAAACACAGGAGGAGGATGTGAATGAGTTTGATAGAAATTATAAAATAAAAGGGGCTAAGCAGAGAAGGATAGCTGTGGTCTGTGAGATGGCAGAGAGAAAAATTCCCATCCGGTTTCTCGTGGGATAATTTTGCTGGAAGAGGCAGGATAGCTTCCTAAACTATCCCTGAGAAAGTCAAAGTAGTCTTTTTTTTTTTTTTTTTTTTTTTTAAACGTGAACCCATGACTAAAAGTAAACTTTTATGTAGGCCCAAGTGTTAATCTGATCATGTGAAGAGGAAGTTTAAAGCCACTTTGCCGTGGGGCAGTTTGACATCCTGGAATCACATAATTTGTTATCGCATGTTCACTGATCCGTTACTGTCCTGCATCAAAAACGGCATTCAAGAAACCAAAGTAGCTTGTTTAGATGGTGCTCTAAAGCAAACACCTCTTCTCTGCTAAAAGTGCTTCTGTCCAGCCAGCCCTTCTGTAACAGTGTAAGTTTGGTTGTGGCACTCTTCATGTTCACTGTCATAGCACTTAATATTACAGGTTTTTATAATTGTTTGTTCTTTTGAAAATCAGAGTAGATCTTGAAGAAGAGCGAGATGCTCATGTTGCATTCACAAATTTAAACACATTTGATCATACATATATGTATAGGTTTTTTTGTTGTTGTTTGCTTGCTTTTTAACCTTAGAAATTCTCTTTTTTAAAAATTTTCTTCCCTGGAAGTATCTCATACTGCTGATTGCAGCTTTTAGTAGATCTGGCAATAGTAACTTAGCTGTTCTTGAAACTGTGCTGTCAGTGACTTGTAACTTGCCATTTAGTAATTCATTGTACTGCTGTGAACGCATACCACAGCTTGCAATGGTTGTTTATGTGGTGTTTTGCAGAGCAAATGGAGACCTCAACTGCAGGGATTTCTAGTGTTTTCAATACTTGCTGTTTAAATAGAAGACCTCTAAATACTTTAAAAGCCTGTGCATTTCAGTTGCTTGGCAAAGAGTGAAAGGCTTGCAGGAATGGAAGAGTGAAAGGATCAAATGATGGGCCTGTGCAGCTGCGATGAACTTAAACATACGTCATAGCGGTATAGAGACGATGCAGACTTTGAAGTATGTTAATTACTGCATAGATGGCAGAATCATAGAAGGATAAGGCTGCAGGTCAAAGATCAAGAACCTGTGTGCCCTCTGGACTCTGGATATTGCTCCTAGAATAATGCTGTAGTTAAATCAATCGTAGTTCTTCCAGCTGTGTCTGATACCCAGAGCATTCTGCTTTCAGAAGCTACTTTGAGCATCACGTGCTGTGACTTTCACAAGTTGGATTTTCACTCACATTTGAGAGACTCAGAGTTGCAAATATTTGTCAGGGCTTGGGAGGGGAGGCAGGGAGACAGGATGGAGAGTGCTCATCATAAGCACATTGAGTTCTTCCAGGGACAAACTTCTTTGATCAAATGCTATCAGTATTTACCACACTGATGTTTGCCCAGTGCCTAAGTTTTACAGAATTTTACATCAGACTTCTGACTCATTGCCTATTGCAATAATTAAAAAACCCAAATAACAGAAATGCAGTATATGTTATTTTTCAGGTGCTCTTTTCATCAGGGTACGTGCATGCTTAAAAAAATCTAGGCTATTTATATCTGTTGTCTGATGAGGAGTCCTGAAGACTATTTATATACTGGAACAGAGAAATAGCGAAACACTTTTGTATAAATGTGCATTGTAGATCATGACCGATACATTAGTACTTGTGTGTTTAAACAAAGTGGTGGGAGGACAATATAACAGTGCTGTGGTGGAAAACTTGGTCATTGAGAGGTGAGTTGAATGCAGTGATTTATTTTGATCCTTAAAAATACCTGAGAGAATAGTCAGTATTTTGACTGCCGGAAGTCAGAACGCTTTTTATAAGCGTGCATTGCAGGTCCAGCTCTGCCCTGTTCTGAATTGGTGTGGAAGAGTAAAGCAGATGGTCTTTATTCTATATATAATAATAGGTGATCCATAGACAGAGAATTTGATAATGCAACTCATAGGTACAAAATTTAGAATTTAATATCTTCCTAGGTGGGGAGAAGGCAGAAGGAGGCTGCAGAAAGGTTTTCCAGCCATCCTTGTGTGATAGTGTAGAGTTGGTTGAAATGAAATACTGAGTGCTGGCAGGAGGGTTTGTGGGGCTCTGCTGGTCTTGGGAACCGTCCCACGTGCATATGTCAGCACAGCACGTTCTCACTAGTGCCATGAAGAAACATCTGCAGGTGTGCATCAGCACTGGCCTTCTGGCCACCTCTAAAAATGCCCGCTGGTAGCGCTTTCAAATTTCTTCATCCCGTAACATGCACTCTCGCTGAAAGTGCAGTGCTGGCTGCTACAGCTGTTACCTTGGACTGAGGCACCTGTTTGGGATACGCTGTGGGCTGCGTCCTCATTAGAGACACTGTCTCCATGTGTTCGCGACAATTTTAAAGAAAGCTACAACTTGCCAAACTCTTGCCTAAACTTTTGACTGTTGTGCATTTGCATGAAGGAGGGATAAGTCAATGTTTAAATGAGGTCTAAACGTCTTGGAATTGCATGTGAAAGGAAATAACTCTGTATTACGACATGTTGTGTAGACTACAGTAACTGAAGATGAAAAATTGCACCCCACTACCGCCGATTTATATGTTTCTGGTTATAAATCCCCTGTTTCTTAGAGATGAGTAAATTTGGGGTAATGCTGCCCATCCAACTTTTCAATAATAATATCTGATGTCCAGCACAGCCATGTTTTACTCTTAGAATTTCTTTTGCCTTTTTAAGTTCCAAACAGAATACTCCTGTTTTGGTTGTAAATAGATTGTAAGACTTTTTAAGATAAACAATAGTATCCTATTAGCCTCCTTATTCTCTTCCATTCAGAATTTAGCCATCTTGTCTTAAACTGATGTTTTCTTAGATCCAAGAATTACATTTATGAGACATTTGGGACATTGGCTGATCTTTATGCCTGAATCTTCTCCTCCTAAAATTAGGAGTGTTGATTTCAAAACAGTAACTCTCAATTTCCTTTATATAATAGTACAACTACTTTGAAATATTCTATAGCAGACTGTTTATTTCCTTTTGTGTGGTATTTATGGTTCTTTTTGCCATTAAGGTGCGAAAGAATGCTTCTTGAGCTTGATACTGATAGCCCATTGCAGTTCTTGTGCTAAACCTTGCATAGCCCTTACACAATTTTGAAAGTAAGTCTAATTGTCAAGTTCAGGGAGCTGGAAGCATTTGTCTCAGAAGATGGCTTTACTTACAAATGTAATTTATGGAAAACATTTGTGTGTCCCAGTTCATATTTTAACCTACAGATCCTTCTTGTAGTGTTT